TAATTCCTGTTAAAATATCGTATTTTTAATGTAAAAGTATAGAGACCGAGTGCACCCGAACATTTTAAGTAACTTACTTACTTCAGGTGAATCATCTTTAAAAAAAAGTAAATTTAGTTAATAATTACGTAATGAGTTTAGCGGACTTTGGCAAAACCGAATCCTGCTGTGATGCACGTCAGAAGATTGATTTTAGACCTCTAAAAACAATGTTTAGATGTACACAACAAAAATTAAACCTCATTTTCATATATGCAATATTGTTTAATTATAGTATAATTATTATACCTGCCTACGATGGTTCTTCTTGCAAGAATTTGGAAAAGGTTGCTGCTAGTACTCGATTTTCCGCCGCACGCGCCCTTCTTTTGTTTTTATAAAAAGTTCCTGAATCTTTTTTGCGTTTTCCAGACATTTTATACTTCTAATTATCAAATTACCTTAGCTATGCACTGATTTTAAAATCAGTGCAAATGCACGTGATATAATATTTGTCAATTATTAATTGTTAATTGTCAAACAAAATTATAGAAAACTACAGGATGTGATTGAAGAAACGAATGAAAAAGGGCGCCAGGGTCGTCTTCCGAGAGCGCCTCTATTAAATCTTTGTAACAAAGATATTAAATTATCTAAACTGCATTTCTCGAGCGTAATTCTTGAAAAAATCGCCAATCGAAAAATGTTTAGTTTGTTGAATAAAATTGATTATCATTAACAAATCGTAAAAATGCCGCCCCCCCCATTATGCCGCCCTGGGCGGTTGCCCGGTTCGCCCGTACCTCGGGCCGGCCCTGAATATTACAGACGTTATTCAAAATGACAACTTTCAAAATGACAGGTGTTAAAATGAGAGGTGTCAAAACGACATCTGTTAAAATGACAAATGCCTGAATGACAGCTGCAAAAAAACCCGTGCCAAAATAACGGCTGTCAAAATGACAGCTGCCTGAATGTCCTGTCAAAATGACAGGGGTCGAAATGACAACGGTGCTGAAATAACAGGTGCCTAAATGATAGCTGTCAAAATGACAGGTACCTAAATGACAGGTGCCGAAAGGACAGCTGTTAAAATAACAGTTTTTCTTAGAACCACGCGAGCAAAGCCGCAGGTATACAACTAGGGATTCCCTAATATGAAATGAATAAAACTTTTTTAATAATATTAATAAAAGGTGATTCATAACATTTATAGCAGTAATCCACATGTGCTTCATGAAACCCACACATTCGTTGATTTACAATTTTTTTGTTTGTCTGTTAATTTGAAAATTCAAATAGCAATTTCTCGAAAACTAACTGACATATTTTTTAAACAGAATCTTATTAAGAATTAAGAGGCCTATTCCCTTTCGCTAAACATGCATGTTCATGAACTACATATGTTTCGTAACATATGAGCCTATTCCCTTTCAATTATTTCGTCTCAATTTCTTAAACATTCATGTTTATAAACATCATCGGTGTTAAAATGTTTCCAAAATTTGATGTTTGGTGAATATACATAATGTTTGAAAACGTATGTTTACTAGCGCTTGCCTGAGAGGTGCTCACGTTGCAACGCCAAATGTACCAACGCGTTGGTACATTTGGCGTTTTCAACTTAAAAAATATATAATCTTTCAAACGTTTTTTTTTTAAATAGTGATAATATTAGCTTTACTTTGCAAGAAAAATTAAAATCGCGTATGTAGCCGTTGTGAAGATATACACTTAAATGTATTTTTTATAAATTAATTTGCAATAGTAAGCTTAGTCTCTGTGTATCGCCTCTTGTGTTGAGGTTTTTTGGACATTTTTCTATTTCAATGGCTTCACTGATGGTACGTTTGGTTCTGTATTCGATGCTAGCCAAGACCCTTGTTTTTTTAAAGTCAATTTTCCAATATAGCCAGCAATAGCCAACTTATTCATGGAAGACATAGTAGTATGAGCAATTGAAACGGCAACACTAAAATCAAAGTTATGGCTACGATACGTAGAAGACACATTTGTCATCTGGACCCACGGAGAAGAGGAACTGAAGAAATTCCTGGACCATCTCAACAGAATTCCAAAATGGTTAAGTTCACAATGGAAACCGAGAAAAAACACCAATTACATTTTCTGGATGTCTTCATAATCAAGAAAAATAATGGCAAACTTGGGCAGAAGCACACCACCACCCGTCACAACTGCAGTCAGTCATTAAGACACTTGTCACGAGATCCGAAAGGCTGGCGGATGATGACCACAAGAAACAAGAAGACCTGAAAATCCAAAGGAGGCTACAGCAAAACGTATTCTCCAAAACCATCATCAAAAAGGCTCTTAGACCACGACGCCGGTTAAATACCAAAGAGGCCTAATACAACAAACCAACTTCGTAGACCTTCCTTCCCTACGTGAAAGGGACAACCGAGAGAGTAGGCAAAGTTCTCAAAAAACATAACATTGAGACAACATTTACCGCCCCAAAAAAGATCGGTCAAATACTTCCAAACGCCAAACCAAAAATAGAGTTGGAGGCACAAGGGGTGTACGAAATTCCTTGTAACAATTGTGACGGAAGCTACGTGGGACAGACCAATAGACGTATCAACGTTAAACTCGAAGAACATCGTAACGGAGTCTTGGCTAGCATCGAACACAGGGCCAAGAAACCTCAACACAAGAGACGATACACAGAGACTACCAACTGCATAAAAACCAGCTCTCACAACCACTAAAACGCCACGCAAATTAACGAGATTAATGTTCTGCTTTAGGTTTTCACGGGCGTTATATGTATTGATGGTTTTCCGGGATCTGCTCTGTGTTGTCGGTTTTTGTTTCTTAAAAGAACCGTATATCTGATGACGTTTCGGTACAATCTCATGTACCCTCTTTAGGTCTTATCTACTACGCTGCTGTTGCGGCTCTGCTGCTTTAGGTTTCCACTGGCGTTATATGTATGAATTCGCAGCAGAGCAGCAACAGCAGCCCAGCACATAAGACCTGAAGATGGTACATAAGATTGTACCGAAACGTCGTCCGACATACGGTTCATTTAAGAACCAAAAACCGACAACACGGAGCAAATCCCGGAAAACCATCAATATTTATATATAGGTATATATATATATATTTATATATATATACATATATAGCGAATTGCTGTGGTATTTTTCACTAGAACATAAGACCTGAAGATGGTACATAAGATTGTACCAAAACGTCGTCCGACATACGGTTCATTTAAGAACCAAAAACCGACAACACGGAGCAGATCCCGGAAAACCATCAATATTTATATATAGGTATATATATATATAAATATATATATATATATTTATATATATATACATATATAGCGAATTGCTGTGGTATTTTTCACTAGAACACTGTTTAGCTAACTGTTGCGCATTAATTTATAAAAAAAAATACATTTAAGTGTATATCTCCACAACGGCTACATACGCGATTTTAATTTTTCTTGCAAAGTAAAGCTAATAATATCACTATTTAAAAAAAAATGTTTGGAAGATTATATATTTTTTAAGTTGAAAACGCCAAATGTACCAACGTGTGCTGTCAATATTTGAGGTTTTTTATCTTGCATTAATCATAAATTGCGGCGATGTTTGGTACAGTATACAGTACAGTATCATTATCAAGCATAGTAATTATGGATTAATTACTTTTTATTAATTAATACCTAATTAATTATAATTATAAATAATTATTTATAAATGAGAATAGGACAAATCATATAAGGTTTCACACCAAACAAATAAAAATATATTTTTTGATAATTTTAAAAATATGTTTATGATTTGTTTTTTAATTATTAATAGTATATTACACTACAAGGGCAGAAAGTGTGAGATTCCTGCACTGCGCGCCATAATGCCAGAGGCGAAGCCGAGGGCATCATGGCGCGCAGTTCAGGGCTCTCACACTTTCTGCCCGTGTAGTGTATACTATTTTTCTTACTACCTCGGCCGAAAATACGGAAAAAAATTAAATGTGTATATCGAAACATATTGATGCCTGCCCAAATTTTGAGGTTATATTAGTGTCGTAATCAGAGTTGCATATGTTGAGCACACGACTAAAATATTTTTACTCCCGCTATTATAGAGTGTGCGCGTATAGCTTGACCAATGCAAGAAACGTAAACTTTCTGCTGTGAAATCGGGGACGAAACAACGTATTTTCAGTCGAGGTAGTAAGAAAAATGTATTTTCTAATTATAAAATCAGAATACAAATTTTGCTTTAACATAATTAATATTAGTGCTGTACAATTTAGCCGGTTAAGCCGGCCAAAAAAGTTAGCTAAGTTAATTAGCTAGCTAACTGATCAGCTTAGCTAATTAGCTGGCGGCTTAACCGGTTAATTTAGCTTAGCTCAGCTAATTAGCTAACGGCTAACTGGCTAATTTTTTTAAGCTATATAATGATTTCTTATTCACGGACAGGTTAAAAAATAATAATTTTGATGTTGCTTTTATGACAAACAATAATAGAGTAATTTATTAGGTTAAATAATATTTTACATTTTATTTATAAAAATGGCTTTTAAATTAATTGTAAAATTTTTTTTAAAGTTATATTTCTATTTTGGTAAAGGAAAATTAATAAGTTTGCATTTTCGGGAAGTAAGCAGTTGTTATATATTGATCATTCTGTTTGTGTTAATTATTATCAGTTACCTTTATACAGTGCTTGCAAATCCAAGTCCGACCGCGTTGGGAAGGATGGTTGTTCAATACCCGCGTGAAAAGAATAAGGATAGAATGCCAAACAGAATTTGATTGGTCAGAGCGTCAGGCGTGCGTATTGTAAGCGCCTTCTGTTTGGCGTTATATCCTTGTTATTTTCACGCGTCCTTCCCAAACCGGTCGGACTTGGATTTGCAAGCACTGTAATTATTTAATCATTATGTCATTCAATGTCAGAAATGTCTGTACTGGAATTTTAGTTTATTAAAGCCTTAATTCCGAAGGTTTCTTTTATAACAATTTAATAAATCATTCTATGGATAAACTACTCAAGCCAGAGCGACTGGAAATTGATATACACTCATCCGACATTGGTCAGCAATGGATGCATTGGAAACGGACATTTGAAAACTTTCTTGAAGCTGCAAAAGTTTCAAAAGACAAAGATAAAGTGAATCTTCCTGTTGTATGTGAGTTCTGCTGTTCATCAACCTATAAGTGAATCTGGATATTATAAAGATGCTATTACAATTCTAGAGAGATTATATCACAATATAAATATTTTAGTTCTATAGATCTGCGTATGGCATATCATCAAATACCTATTTTGGAAAGTGAACGAATTTACACTGGATTTGAAGCATGTGGCAATTTTTATCAATTCACAAGAATTCCTTTCGGAGTCACCAATGGGGTAGCATGTTTTCAACGTACAATCAACAGCATTATCGAGAATGAAAAGCTTGATGGCACTTACGCATTTTTAGATGACGTCACAATTTGCGGAAAAAGTAAAGAAGAACACGACAAAAATCTCGAGAAATTCATGGACGTCGTAAGACATTATAGTTTAATATTCAATGAAGAAAAATGTAAATTTTCATCGAGAAGTATTAACATTCTGGGATATACAATAGAAGGGAAAACAATAAAACCAGATGCCGATAGACTAAGGCCATTGGTAAATTTACCAGTCCCTACAGATATAGCTTCTCTAAGAAGAATACAAGGTATGTTTGCACATTATTTAAAATTTATTTACAAATTTTCTGAAAAGATTCATCCCATCATTGATGTAAGGCATTTCCCAATGAACAAAGAACAAATTCAAGCATTCGAAAATCTGAAACAAGATATTATTGATGCAGTTGTAACATATGTTGATGAAAATGCACCATTTACAGTGGAAACTGATGCTTCAGAGTTTGCAATTGGTGGTCAACTGACACAGCTTGATAAACCGGTAGCATTTTTTTCCAGAACCCTTTCAAAGACGGAACACTAACATTCAAGCATAGAGAAAGAAGCTTACGCAATAGTGGAAGCTGTAAGAAAGTGGCGGTATTACTTAATGGGACGTCACTTTAGTTTAATCACTGACCAAAGATCTGTTGCTTTCATGTTTGACAGCAAAAGCTCATCCAAAATCAATAACGAGAAAATAATGCGGTGAAAAATAGAACTATCATGCTACAAATTCGATATTATAAACAGACCAGGAAATCAAAATATCGTAGCAGACTCCCTTTCAAGGATAAAAGCTCATTCACATCCACTTAATACGCGTAACTTAACTTAACGTACGTAAGAGACGTAAGTTGAAATACATTGAAACCAATGCAGCTGTTTACATTCGTATAAAACTTATCACAGGTAACTCAACGTCTCCAAAAGTTGGGATCGGCTCAACTTAAGGGAATACGTTTCTTACGTGAGCCAATCACATGCCCAGTAAAACGATATAGCGCTATCTTGTTGTTTCACTTTTATAGATAGAGCTAATCACATGCCCAGTAAAACGATATAGCGCTATCTTGTTGTTTCACTTTTATAGATAGATAGGCAACCCAGTCTACATCGATGTCTACATTGCGCGTGCTTGTATATTACGTTTTTGGTGTGTATTAAGTTAATGTAAACAGACAACTTAACAGACGTATGTTTCTTAAGTTAACGGCCATTTCAAGCGGATGGACGGGACAAATCACAAAACTGTTTTTATAAAAAAAATTGTAGGTAATTTATTATATATTATTTTTGCATCAAAATTGTCAAATGTATTCTTCTATTATTTGGCTATACATTAAATAAAAAAAATCGCAAGAAATATTTTATAAAAGTAGAGATAATTTCAATAATTGGCAGGGGTGGACGGGACAAGATAAATCTTTTTTTTGTCCCGTCCACAGGGCCGGCGCAACCTATAGGCAAACTAGGCAAAAGCCTTGGGCGGCAAAGTCAGGGGGCGGCAATATCAGGGAGCGGAAAAAATTAATTGGGTTAAAATATAAAAATAAATAAAAATTGGCTATAAGTTCGAATTTAAAAAATGTAAACACTTCTTAAGAATAATTATTGAATTTACTCAGAGGTTATCTATAAAGATTCTTTAAAGAAATTTCACTGATGTCATTCTGTATTAATAGAGATTAAATTGAACTCCCTCTATAAGTTGGAGCGAGAAGACTCTTACCCCTTCTCAGAAGATGTAAATTATTTACTACAAGTGCGCTACTGGTATTTTTTATAGTTTTTAAACATTCCATATGATCTACCAACAAATTGGGAAAACAGCTTTTAAATGCTTAAATATTTAACTCCAATGGCTGTACTACTTGTGTTTAATAATATATTTATAAATATTTCAAAACCAACGATAGTTTTGGACATGCGCAATGTTTAAAAAATGGCAGTGACGACATCTATTATCAAAATTCATACCTTAGGTATAAAAGTTTTATTATAATAACGCTGTTGCTAGTACACCGAGCGCGGTGTACTATTCTACACCTCCAATTGATGACGTCGGTTGCTTGCTTATAATCCGTTTTTGTTCCCCGAGCGTTTAATATTTGACAACAAGCTAGATGGCTCAGATGGTAGGGCGGGCGCTTGACATGCGAGAGGTCCCGGGTTCGATACTAAGGACTTTTTTTATTTTTTTATTTCATAAATTTGTTGTTTCTTTGTTAAACAGTGTTCGGTTGGGTTGGGTTGGTTGGTTTGTTTTAGTTTTATCGTTACATAAAATCTACTAGAAGTTGTCGAACTTTTTTTATTTCATAAATTTGTTGTTCCTTTGTTAAAGTGTTTTATTTTTATCGTAACATAAATTTGCCCATTTTAGTTGGGTTTTTTGCTCAATGGGGCGGGGGGGGGGCAATGGGGCGGGGTCGGTTGGGTTGTGTTGTTGAGTTTGGGTTGGTTTGGGTGTATGACGTAACTAACGTGCCTTTAACATTTCGAATCGCGGCACGTTAGCGTATATATATAGTTACATATATAGTTACATTTTTGGCTTTTAAAATGATGACCGTAAACGTGTAAACCATTGAAAAAGGATAGTGTAAACTGACGTTTCCACAAATATGAATATGCGGTGCAGGAATTGTACACCGCAAGCAACCGACGTCATTATTTGGCGGTGCAGAATAGTACACCGCACGCGGTGCACTAGCAACAGCGTTATAATAAAACCTAAATTGAGGCCTAAATTAATTAAATGACGATGGTAACAAAAAAAATCTTTTTTAAGGTAACAAAGTGTCAAATTATTAATAATAATTATTATTGTGATAAAGTTTGTGCGGTTTATTTTGTTCCTTGAATACTTATCTAGTGTGTGGTGCAGTAAGTCGTCAATCAACGCCGTTGATTCAACGGTTAAGTTTATAAATCCCGAAATTACCAAATAAAAAGTAAGTTTTTGTTTTTAATTACCCATGAATAATAATTAAGATGGTACAAATTTCATTTGAGTGAAATTTTTACCAAAGTTTGTTAAAACGGGGCACTATACCTACCCATAATAAAAATATCACGATTCATTATTTTTTTCAGATTTCTGCAAAAATATGGCATACAGGAAAAGACTGTCTGGAAATCAATATCGTAAGAGAAAAGCAGAGAAGGAAAATGCTTTGCATTAACAACAAGGTTTTTTCTTGAAGTATTTGCGTTCTCACACTCCACCTCTCTCTTCAGGTAGTTTGGTTGCAGAATGCAGTGATACTAAGGAAACAATAGAAAATGTGGATTCTGAAAGTAATATTAACGATTCTGATGAAATTCAAGAGAAAGAATGGATGATCCAGACTTCTATAAATTTTAGTGACCCTGCAACTTGGGAAAATTTTGATCATCACCAACGACAAACTCTTGTAGAAAATGGACCAGTCCAAATTGTGGATTTTCCTTTCCCATTAGACAGCAACCGAAGAAAATTTTGTGTAAGTTATTATAAAAGAAAGTTAATTAATGGTAACAATATCAATCGAGAGTGGCTTCAATATTCCATCACTAAAAACGCAGTGTTCTGTTATTGCTGTAAGCTATTTGGAAAACAAATAAAGACTACTTTAAGTACTACTGGGGTAAATGATTGGGAAAAATATTATTGCAATATTAAGCAGCCACGAAAAGAGCAGTGATCACATGTCAAATTTTCAAGATTGGAAAGAATTAGAATTTCGGCTTGGCAAAAACAAAACAATAGATTCAGAAAATTTGCGATTGATTAGGCAAGAAGAAAGATATTGGCAACAAGTACTGGAAAGGCTAATAGCGTTGGTTCGTGTTCTCGGAGCTCAAAATTTAGCATTTGGTGGAACACATGAACAAATTTTTAAATCCGATAATGGAAACTTTTTAAAATTTGTAGAATACTTAGCTTTATTTGATCCTGTAATGCATGAACATCTCCGAAAAATCCAGGACAAAGAAACTCATATTCACTACTTGGGAAAAGAAATTCAAAATGAAATGATCAAACTTTTATTCGGTGCAGTACAAAAAAAAATTGTTGCTTGCGTTCGATCTGCCAAGTATTATTCTTTGATTTTAGATTGCACGCCCGACGTAAGCCATACTGAACAGATGACTATCATAATCCGATTTGTCGATTTAATAGACGAACGGGGTGGATACATTAAGGAACATTTCTTAGGATTTGTTCCTGTTTTAGAAACCACTGGCGCTGGTTTAACTGAGAAAATCTTGGAAGTATTAAAAAAACTTTCCTTACCTTTCGAAAATTTACGTGGTCAAGGTTTTGACAACGGAAGCAATATGAAGGGCAAAAATAGCGGAGTTCAGCGAAGAATTTTAGATAAAAATCCACGAGCACTTTTTGTACCTTGCAGCTCCCATTCTTTAAATCTAGTGGTCAATGATGCTGCTTAGCTGCCACTGCATTTTTTAGTTTGGTCCAAAGCCTATACGTTTTTTTTCCTCATCTACTCGTAGATGGGACATTCTGCTTCGTCACGTGCCTTCTTTAACGTTTAAACCTTTAAGCGATACAAGGTATGAAAGCCGAATTGACGCATTACGGCCACTTCGCTATCAAATGGAGGCCGTGCACGATGCCCTAATGGCCATTTATGAGGATAAAACTCTAACAGGACCTATAGGTAATACAACAAAAATTGAAGCTCAAGGATTTGCTAAGAAATTGGCCAATTACAAATTCATTGTTTCTCTTATTGTGTGGTATACTATTTTAAATCAAATAAACGTGACCAGTAAATTACTACAATCCCAAAAAATTGACTTATCTGAAGCTACAGCTCATTTAGAAAAGACTAGAACATTTTTAGAAAACCTTCGAAGTGATCAAGAATTTGACAAAATATTATCAGAAGCAATGGAAATTTGCGATGAATTAAATATTCTAGCCTTATTTCAATTAGAGTCTCAACCAATCCGTTTGAGAAAAAAGAAAACGCAATTTTCCTACGAGACTGAGGATGAGCCTATACAAGACGCAAAGCAACATTTTAAATTTAATTTTTATTTTGCAATTCTCGACACTGCGATATCATCGGTAACTGAAAGATTTACTCAGACAAATCAAATATCATCAATTTTCGGGTTTTTATACCCATGAATTAAAAAATATGACTACTAAGAGTATTTTAAATCATTGTCTCAAACTAGAAGAAATCCTAAAATACAATATTATATAGTATATAAAGATATTGATGCTACGGAACTCTGTGATGAGCTAGAAGTGATTGCTAGACGCATAGAGCCAAAGGCTACACCGCAACAAGTTTTAACTTAAAGAGATTTTGCCCAATTTAATAACAGCATTACAAATTTTGTTGACGCTTCCTGTGTCGGTAGCCAGTGGCGAACGCAGTTTTTCGAAACTAAAATTAATAAAATCCTATATCAGATCGACAACAAAACAGGATAGACTTGTAGGACTTGCAACCTTATCAATAGAGAAAGATATTGCTCAAACTATAAGTCTACCTGAACTTGTATCTGACTTTTCCAAGTTGAAAGCAAGAAAAAAATTAATGTAAATTTGTAATATAGTAATTCTTAACTTTAACGCATCTTCATTTATTTATTTAAATTACCTGATATTTTCGAAACTAAAAAACTTATTATATTTTGTCATTACTAGCGCTGATTTGTCCTAAAATATATTTTAATAAGATTATGCAGTTTATGTACTTTAATTAAGTATGAAAAAAGTATATTGAACAAACTTTAAGGGGGGCGGCTCACAGATTTTTTGCCTAGGGCGGCAGGTTCGCTTGCGCCGGCCCTGCCCGTCCACACCTTTCAATTATTAAAATTATATCTACTTTCATAAAATATTTCTTGCGTTTTTTTTTATTTAATGTATAACCTAATAAAAGAAGAATATTTTTGACAATTTTGATGCCAAAATATTATAGAATAAATAATCTACAATTTTTTTTATAAAAACAGTTTTGTAATTCGTGCGTTTCGCGCGCTTGAAATGGCCGTTAAGTTAAGTTAAGTTACGCATATTAAGTGGATGTGAATGAGCTTTAACTGCTGCTATTCAGTCATCGACTTCAGATAAAAATTTATACAATTTACACAACACAATGTGTCATCCTGGTATCACACGATTTTATCACTGGATTAGATGTAAAAATATACCATATTCATTAGAGGACGTTAAAAGAATAGTATCAGCATGTCCGGTTTGTGCAGAGATTAAGCCAAGATTTCATAAAAACCAAGGAAAACTTATAAAAGCGACAGCCCCATTTGAGAAATTGAATATTGATTTTAAAGGACCACTGCCATCGAACAACCAAAATAGATACTTACTAGATATTGTAGATGAGTATTCAAGATTTCCATTTGCCTTTCCATGTTCTGATATGTCGTCTTCAACAGTGATCGATTGTTTAACTCAATTATTTTTAATGTTCGGTACTCCTGGATATATTCATAGTGATAGAGGGACATGTTTTCTATCAGCTGAAGTCAAGTCGTTCTTAACAAATCATGGCATTGCTACGAGTCGAACAACAGGATATAATCCGCAGGCAAATAGACAATGTGAGAGATACAATGGGACGATTTGGAAGACTGTTCAACTAGCAATTAAATCTAGAAACCTTGATATAAAACAATGGCAAGATGTTTTGGTTGATTCTTTACATTCAATTAGATCTCTACTTTGCACCGCAACAAACTCCACACCCCACGAACGTATTTTTAATCATCCTAGAAGATCGGTGAACGGCTCAACAATGCCTACGTGGTTGAGTACTCCTGGATTCGTCTTCCTTAAGAAACATGTCAGGCATAACAAATATGAACCTTTGGTAGAGCAAGTAGATCTTATTGAATCTAATTCAGATTATGCTCAATGAGCATTGCTCATGCAAGACTATCAAATGGGAGAGAAATCACTGTATCAACTCGACATTTAGCACCAAGAGGAGATCTAAAACTGTTAGAAGATGAAATGATAGATGAAAATGTAACAGTTTCTGAAGAAATGAACAATATTGAAGAGAGAAATAAATCCAATCATTCCCTGATATACGATGGAAAGGAATCTACAGATAATTCTGTTCAATCCGATTCTGCGGGAATTAACGAACACTTTCAAGTTTTGGAAAAGAGAGCTCATAGACCTCCTTCATATCTTCAAGATTACGTTAGAAGTTGAGCGAGGAAGATTGTTATATATTGATCATTATGTTTGTGTTAATTATAACCAGTTACCTTTATACGAGCCCTAACCACATAATGTTCGGACACTTCATAATTTATACAGAAATTTTTTTCGTGAATACTATCTCAAAATTATTAGAAGTTATGAAAAATTCAGCTTATTTTGGCATATACCCCTCGAAGCGATTTTTATTTTTAAAAAGTTTACCTTTTATTTTTAGCTTTTAAAAAAAGGCTAACTTTTTAACTTTTTTTTGCATGAGTAAAAAAAGTTATAAATGGGCCCATTAAAAAGAGCATAAAATATTATACAAACCCTGAAAATTTGGTAAAAAATAAATAAGTTATAAAAAAGTATAAGTAATTTAAAAATGCTATTTTTAAAGAGTTTTTGCAATTTTCTTAGGAAACGGGAGATTTTGCAGATATATATATCGCTATAACTTTCTTATTATTTATACAATTTTTACCAAATTTTCAGGGTTTGTATAATATTTTATGTTCTTTTTAATGGGCCCATTTATAACTTTTTTTACTCATGCAAAAAAAAGTTAAAAAGTTAGCCTTTTTTTAAAAGCTAAAAATAAAAGGTAAACTTTTTAAAAATAAAAATCGCTTCGAGGGGTATATGCCAAAATAAGCTGAATTTTTCATAACTTCTAATAATTTTGAGATAGTATTCACGAAAAAAATTTCTGTATAAATTATGAAGTGTCCGAACATTATGTGGTTAGGGCTCGTATAATTAGGTATTTAATCATTATGTCATTCAATGTCAGAAATGTCTGTACTGGAATTTTAGTTTATTATAGCCTTAATTCCGAAGGTTTCTTTTATAACAGCAGTTCCGTTTAGAGCTTATAATATTTTCTGGCTGAGGTGCCAGATGACAGGTGACAGATGTCAAGTTGACAGATGACAAATAGCTGATGAAAAATGACATGTGACAGATAAAAGGTGACAGATGTGAAAGATGAAAATTGACGTATGACACAACACAGCTGACAGGTGACAGATGACAGACGAAATGTGACAGATAGCAATTGACAGGTGTCATTTGCCACCTGTAATCTGTTAATTGTCATCTGTCACCTGTCATCTGTCAATTGTCATCTTTCACATTTCGTATGTCACCTGTCATCTGTCATTTGTCATCAGCTATTTGTCATCTGTCAACTTGACATCTGTCACCTGTCATCTAGCACCTTAGCCGGAAATATTATAAGCTCTAAACAGAACTGCTTACTTCCCGAAAATGCAAATTTATTAATTTTCCTATACCAAAATAGAGATATAACTGAAAAAAAATTTAACAATTAATTTAAAAGCCATTTTTATAAATAAAATGTAAAATATTATTTATCCTAATAAATTACTCTATTATTGTTTGTCATAAAAGCAACATAAATATTATTATTTTTTTAACCTGTCCGCGAATAAGAAATCATTATATAGCTTAAAGAAAATTAGCCGTTTAGCCGGTTAGCCGTTAGCTAATTAGCTGAGCTAAGCTAAATTAACCGGTTAAGCCGCCAGCTAATTAGCTAAGCTAATTTAGTTAACCGGTTAAATTAGTTAAGCTGATCAGTTAGCTAGCTAATTAACTTTTTTGGCCGGCTTAACCGGCTAAATTGTACAGCACTAATTAATATTAATTTTATAATAATAATAATAAATATTTATTTAGAAAAAAACAGAAAATTAAAAAATCAAGTGTGAAAAGAGATTTTGGGAGGTCAAGACTTATGTTACATTACATTACATTATATGTTACAAGGGGGACAGAGTGTCTAAAAACAACCTCTAAAACTACCCTGCTGAAAAAGACGGGTAATATCGGATGATTGCGGATAAAAAACCAAGCTAGTTTTATGTCCATTTATATCTGTTCTTATCCGACATATCTGATTTTACCCGGCATGTCGGTTTTTATCTGCAATTGCGGGTATAAATATTATCCGCGAACGTCGGGTTTTATCTATTTAGATCTATGTCTGCTTTTATCTGTTTTCATCCGCAAATACCTGTATTTGTTTATATCTGCATTCACCCGGTTTTATCTGATTTTATCCGCAAACATCTACCTTAATCCGCAAACGTCTGCTTTATCCGATTTCAACTGCAAACATCTGCTTTTATACGTGAAGATCTACTTTCATCCGCGAACATCTATTTTAATCCACAAACATCTGTTTTAATCCGCAAACATCTCATTTAGTCCGCAAAAGTCTGATTCATAAGATTTCACCTGCAAACATCTGCTTTTATCCGCAAACATCTGTTTTAATCTCCAAACATCTGCTTTTATCCGCAAACATCTATTTTAATCTGCAAATATCTGCTTTTATCCGCAAACATCTGATTTTATCTGCAAACATCTGATGTTATCCGCAAAAATCTGCATTTATCCGTAAACATCTGGTTTAATCCGCGAACATCTGATTTTATTCGCAAACATCTGATTTTATCCGCAAACATCTGATTTTATACGCAAACCTTATTTTATCCGCAAACATCTGATTTTATACGCAAACATCTGATTTTATTCGCAAACATCTGCTTTTATCCGCAAACATCTGATTTTATACGCAAACATCTGATTTTATCCGCAAACATCTGCTTTTATCCGCAAACATCTGAGTTTATCCACAAACAACTGATTTTATTCGAAAACATCTGATTTTATCCGAAAACATCTGATGTTATCCGCAAACATCTGCTTTTATCCGCAAACATCTGAGTTTATCCACAAACAACTAATTTTATTCGCAAACATCTGATTTTATCCGCAAACATCTGATGTTATCCGCAAACATCTGCATTTATCCGTAAACATCTGCTTTTATCCGCTAACCGCTGATTTTATCCGAGAACATCTGCTTTTATCCACAAACATCTGCTTTTAGCCGCAAACATCTGATATTATCCGCA